ATTTATGTGTAGATTATACAAACAGAACTTGTTGTTGCCTATTTTTTAAACGTTTAAAGAGCACGTCTAATTCACCAGAAAATCTATGGGTACACTGTTCCCTGGGAGTGGCTTCTGCACACCAATATTTAAGTGATGATATTTTGCAATATTTCTATTTTAAAAGCTGAATTTATATTCAAATACAAACCAAGAATAGTGATGAGACCCTTGAATATTTTTCAGTCTTCAATTCCTTTATTTTTCCATATATTTGTCATTCTTTCAGTAAAGCAGAGCCCAGCTGGTATATGCCTGCTGTATTCTCTCTAACTTAGAAAACCCAGTGTGGCTTTTTGACTGGACTGTGATCTCCTGCGATAAAGACTTCTAGGAATTCAAAGGAAATGTATTCTGACACCTCTAAATAAGCCACTAGAGCACATTTAATTTTAGAATTCAGCAGTGTTCTTTCATAGCAAATCAGGTAACTTACCTGATATTTTAAACTAACTACATTCATAAACAAACAATTTTTAAAAAAATACTCACCTCCACCGGCATATTTGAAAGGGCCTGATAGTCTTTGGGGTGGACGATAGATATTGTATAAGTTGCCTTTTTGTTGGGCTCATCAAAACAAGGGAAGGATTTCCTGGCATCTGTTGGTTCATGATCAGTGGCTGCTATGCTCCTTGGAAACAAACACACACACACGTAAAATCCATGTTGTCTCTTCTGACAGCCCCTCTGTTTTTACCCCTACAGAAAACAATCAACTGTGTAATTATAACCGTGACATTTCTTAAAATGAGTCTCCATCCACACTCAGGTATTTTGGTGCCATAATTAAAAATATGTTCCCTGACCGGTTTGGCTCAGTGGATAGAGCATCGGCCTGGGGACTGGAGGGTCCCGGGTTCGGTCCCGGTCAGGGGCATGTGCCTTGGTTGAGGGCATGTCCCCAGTGGGGGGTGTGCAGGAGGCAGCTGATCGATGTTTCTCTCTCATCCCTGTTTCTGGCTCTCTATTCCTCTCCTTTCCTCTCTGTAAAAAAATCAATAAAATATATATTTTTTAAAAAGTTCTCTTACAGTATTAATTGATTAATATCCATTATCACCCAACAGAATATAAATCATGAATTAGTTTGTCAGTGTTGGTTTTGTTGCTAATACTTTGAAGGAATGAAAAGTCATGGGGGAAACACACTTGCAGATCCCTTCTTAATAAAAAGTGGCCCAGGGACTTGGCCAGGCAGGACAGGGCTGTGTGGGAGAGGCTTGGGAGGCCCCTCCCTGGAGATGGATGGCAGGTGGAGCAAGGAAGGTCTGAAGGAGAAGACCTAAGGCAGTGGTTCTCAACCTGTGGGTCGCAACCCCTTTGGCGGTCGAACGACCCTTTCACAGGAGTCTCCTAAGACCATCCTGCATATCAGTTACAGGGGTCTCCTAAGACCATACTGCATATCAGATATTTACATTACGATTCATAACAGTAGCAACATTACAGTTATGAAGTAGCAACGAAAATAATTTTATGGTTGGGTCACAACATGAGGAACTGTATTTAAAGGGCCAGAAGGTTGAGAACCACTGGTGCAACTGAAGCCAGGACTTTAACCTGACAGTCCTATCAGAGCAGCATCTAGGCAAGTATGAGCAAATATTCTCCTAAGGGTTAAATGGGGGGGGGGGTGTAAAATCAACTCCATGCAGCTGTGAGAAGAAGCCTTTCCTTCTCATGTACCGCTAACTTAAGATTTGCTTTATATAAAAGAGAAAATGTGAACCAATCATCTACATAAGTTAGAAAACAAACTGGTAAATGACATCGCTGCCCTCGCCAGAAAAATCAAATAAAAAGAACACTGACCCTCCGCTTCTCAGATGAGATGGCAAGGATGTTGCCCCTTCGAACATTTCTTGCTCCTTGATTTCTCTGAAGCCTCCATCATACGTTAGCTGAAGTGGGTGACTCTTTAAGTGGCCAACGGCCTTTGGTTCTGTTAAATAAATCCCACTGATTTTCACCGGAGAGTCCCCCATCCTAACTGTGTCTTTGGATTCCACTGTCTTCTTTCCTGTAATAACCAAGGAGATGTTTTGTCAAAGCATTTCTTATTTTAGGAATCACCATCTTTCAATATTTTTTTAAAATCTAAGAATGTACACAATTCAAAAATTACATGTCACTTATAATCAAGTATGGATACAACGTCCCTGGCCATATAAGACCTCACCACTATTTTAGGCTTGGCATCATCAATGCAGCAGGTAAAAATGAAGAGGATCTTATTTCTATTAGCTTGGGGTCTACCTAAGGCAAACGCTTAAAGTTAGATTTATGAACCACCTAAGTCCACATACATACTCTGCATCACATCCTCTTCCTACATGTAATCATGTTAGTAATTTCTGATTCAAAAAAAGATATTTATTGAGTGCCCCCTGATGTCAGGCACTGTCCTAGGCACGTAGGATGCATCAGTGACAAACCAAAGATCCCTGACCTCATAGGGCTTACATCTGAATAAACAGATAATAAGTAATACACCATAATAAATAAGGTATATCGGATAAGTGTTATGGAAAAAAGCAAAAGTAGAAAAGTGGAGAAGGGTAAACAGGACTGGCAATGGGTGGACATGGTAGATGGATCCTTGAAGGAGGTGGGGCACCTGCCCGTCAGATGCTGAGGGACAGGATTGCCAGCAGAGGGGAAGCAGACGCGGAGGCCCTAAGGCAGGGCTGTGCCTGACATGCTCCAGGAACAGCAGGCAGGGAGTGTGTGAGGGGAGGAGAGGAGGAGAGGTGGTCAGAGGGGCTGGGCTGGGTCGTGGCAGATCATTTCCAGGTGATGAACGGAGGGGTGTGCTGAAGCCCTCCCAGGCTTTCTGAAGGGGACCAAGATAGAGTTGCAAAAAGATGTCAGCCTCTGAACCGAAACACATGCCTTGTTTACAACTGCAGAGCCTGACACTTATAATACAACACGGCTTCTTTACCAGGAGGGACAGCTTATCCATGCTGCTCTGCTCTACTCTGGTCTGTGATAAAATATGTTTGCAAAGTGGAAGGGGGAATGAGCTTCATATAGAAAAATACTGTTCTGCAAGCTTTTCCAAAGCAACTCAAGGTTTCCTTTTCTGCACTTGAACCAACAAACCAATGAAAACCGACAACAAAACCACCTAGGCTACGCTTCCGACCAAGCTCCTTGCGTCCACACACTGAATTGTAAAGCCGAAGGAAACCTGAAAAATTGGCTAGGCTCATCTTCATTTTTCAGAGGAGAAAATAGCTTAAGTGACTAGTGTGAGGTCACAGGGGAAGTTCAGGGAGAGCAGGACAGTACAGTGGGAAGAGAGTAGGCTTTGCATTTCAGCAGACGTGGGCTCAAGCACAGGCTGTGTGACGAGCAGGCCACTCAACCTTTCCCTCACCTTCCTCCGTGGTGCCCACTTCTTGGGGACGTGGTGAGAATTAAATGACATGACCTAGTGACTTATCACACTAAAACCTAGACGTCAGTGTCGTTACTATTCATGGAACTCCGGAATCCTGGCTGCTGGCCCGGGGCTCTCTGCACAGTGCAGGCTCCCTTAGAGGTCTTTACTACTGAGTTACAAGGCACACATTCTGTTTCGATCACAAAGAATCTTTAGCCTGTGCCTATATCTTAGCACTTGTTTCTTTCATCCATCCACTCCTTGAATATTTATTCAGCACCCACGCCAGAGGGCCAGGTGCTGCTCCAGGTGCTGGTGGCCCAGTGGTGAACAAGAAGTCCCAGCTGCCATGGGCTACTGTCCTGGAGGGGGAAACCCACCCGCCCGAGAGGTGAAGGAGCTGCAGCCCCTTTATCTTCACAAGCTACTAGGGCAGTGATTCTCAATCTTCTGGCCCTTTAAATACAGTTCCTCATGTTGTGACCCAACCATAAAATTATTTTCGTTGCTACTTCATAACTGTAATGTTGCTACTGTTATGAATCGTCATACTGGCCGCTACTACCACAGTGCAGGCTGCCTGGGGCTCACTCCTGCTCCCGATGGAGCGCCGCCATTCAGCTGAGCACCTGTGGCGATGATCCACGTCTCCCTGGCCAATCTCTGCAGCCCGCTGTACTAGCTCTGTATGGGCCGGCGTTACCATGCAGGAGCGGTTCCAGCCCACAGACACTTCTCTGCCGCCTGCTGTATACCAGATCCTGTCTTAGTCTCTCTGGCTACAATGAGAGAAAAACCTCTTCACCTCTGAAGTTGCTCAGCCTAGTAGGGGAGACAGAGAAGCAGACCTGGGTAAAGAGAGACATGCCGTACAGACAAGTGCGGTGGTCCGAGCCCGGTAAGGGTGACAGAGAGAATGGGGGAGTCCTGAGAGGTTGGGAGTTGGTCGGGGAAAGATTCAGAGAGGAGGTGGGGCCTGAGAAGCATTTTGAAGGGTTAACAGGAGGCAAAAAGGAGTTCTGAGAAGGAGGAACAAAAGCTTCGAGTCCCAGCCAGCCTCTTGTGTGTACAAACTGGATAGTCGAGCAGGCCCCTGCTGAGAAGGGCCCCGTACTGGCTTAATGTTTGCTGTTGCCGTCTTGAAATTCTGAATAATTTTTTTAACAAAGAGCTCCACATTCTCATTTAGCACTAGGTCCAACAAATTCTACAGCAGGTCCTGCATGAGGCTCGGAACAACAGGATGGGTGGGTGTGGGGAAATGCAAGGAATTCCACATTGTTGGTGCATAGACTGTGGGGTGGGCTAGGCCAGGGAGGGTTGAGAGAAGGGCCTGACTGGGGCCAGATCACAACAGGGCTGTACATGCAAGGAGTGGGGGCTTCATCCTCCAGACCAGGAGTCAGCAAACTACCACCAAATCTGGCCCACCTCCCATGGTGGTAGAGCCTGCAAGCTAAGAATGGTTTTCATATTTTTAAATGGTTGGGGGTAAAAATCAAAAGAAAAAAAACATGTTTTGTAACATGATCATTATATGAAATTCAAATTTCGCTGGCCACAAATCAGTCTATGGTTGCTTTTCAGAAGGGCAGAGCTGAGCAGACGTACAGACTGTGTGACCTACAAGGTCTAAAATATTTACTATTAGGCCCTTCACAGGAAAAGTTTGCCAACGTCTGTGCTAGGTCAGTGTTTCTCAAACTGTGTTCCCCAAAAGACAGATTCCAGAGCCAAGCCGACTTGTGAAATGCTGGGTGGAATTAAAATTAAACGCTTCCTCTACCAGAGGGGCTTTACCGACTCTCTGAACATGCCCATGTGTATTGCGAGTCTCCGAGGGGGAGAGAACGTGAGTGCACCTATTTCAGCACTGAGCTCTTTTTCCAAGGAAAAGCTATTCATATTTTGCTAGAATTTCCCTAGAACTCAGTTTGGCAAACACTCCTTTAGGCGCAGGGGGCCCTCTGAAGGTTTTTTAGCAAGAAGATGACGCAATCTGATTTTTGTTTGCTTCCTGACCTCTGATCCCTGATGGCACACACAGAACATGATTTCTGTGGTCCGGTGAGATAAAGGGAGACGGCCCACAGCCACATCTGGGTGGGAGCTTGGCTTCCCCAGGCTGTGCTGGCTGCTCCAAGCGACCTTGTGTTGACCCACTTGCAGCCCCCGCAGAGGGTGAGGTGGAGCAAGACAGGAGGGCCAGAGACGAGGGACAAGGCCGGAGGTGATCAAGGCAGTGAGGCGGAGGTGGGACAGGAGAGCAGACCCAAGCAGTATTTAGAAAGCCCATTTAGGAGGCCCGGGAGGGGCTGGTGATGGCAAAGGTGACCGGGATGGGTGAGCGGGTGCAGACGGCACTGCGGTCTCTGTCTGGTGTGGATAACCGGGGAGCTGTCACAACACTGCCCTCTCCAGCCAAAAACCCCAGAGCAACTAAACTGCTGGCCCAAGAAGACGGCACACACATCTCTTCCCCTTTCATTTTTGTAGATTGGAAATTCCCAGCCTGTCACCACACCCCGAGCCCTGCCCGTGGCAGTGTCAGCTGCAAAGGACTTCCCACCAAAGAGAGGGACGCCACTCCATCTCCGTGAACATGGTTCCATTGACAATCACCCAGTAGAGGGTCCCTTCTGTACACAGCAGAGACTGAAGCCAGCCCAGGGAGCCACTGCACGGATGACAGTGGCCGCAAGGCTAGAGCGCGGCAGCGTTTTTGTTGATGGGGCAATGTGCGCTTTTAAAGGGACAATGCCTTTAGCTGCCATAGCTTCCTGAGTGCTGACACAGACCCAGGGGATGGTGGAAATGGTGAGGTGGGGCCGCTGCAAACAGGGTGGATAAGAGAACCGCAGCAAAGACGTGCTTTGGGGCAGCTTGGAGGCGCAAAGATGGCTTCGGTGCTGGGACAGGGTACCTGCTGCCCACGGCACCTTCTGAGCACAACTGGGGTGCTGTGGCCAAGGGCCAGGGGGCCCAGGAGGGGAGGAGCTAAGCCATGAGGGAAGCACAGAAGACGAGGTGGTGGGTGACACATCCACCTGTTCAGGCACCTTCACAAAGCCGTGAGTAGCTCGGTAAGCAGCAGGGCTCTCAGGGTGAGCTTCCAAGAGTTAAAAGTGTTACATGCAGCTGCAGCATTCGCGATCAAAGCCACCCAACGAACGGCCATTTAGTAGCTCTTACACCAGCTCTGCCATCCTGTTCACAAGAAGTGACCCTGCTCCTCTCTGCGTCTGCCTTCACCCCCAACCTTGATCCCACCCCTCTCACCCTGTCAAGGGCTTTGCTCCTGCAGCTACCGCTCCCTTCTGATGAACTGGTCTGGTAGGGCCCAGTGTGGAGCCTGTGAAAGTGGCTCAGGTGACTGTAATGTGCCCCGACACTGAGAAACATAAGGCGGATGGTGTGTCTCCCTTGCCTAGACCCTGCCCTGGCTTTTCCCTGCAAGCAGCTTAGAGCGGGCCCTTCCCCCAGCCTGGCCTGCGTGGCCTTTGGCCTCAGCTCCTGCATCCATAGCAGGACGACTCTCCTGCACTACACATCACTGCATCACACACACACACACACACACACCACACACACACACACCCTGCACTGCCTGTCTTTTCTCTCCTTGATGCTACCTCTTCAGGTTTGTCAGGGAGGGATCTCTGGAGACCCAGGAACCAGACAGGAACATGAGCTGAGGGGTCAGGCGACATGGGGGACAGCAGATCACATCCGGGGCTAACAGGGTGGATATACCCAGCTCCAGTCATTCTCTTGGGGGCTGCACAGAAAGGGGGCCTGGAGTGGCTGGACTGTTAGATTTTTCACAAGAAGTCATACATCTGGACTCTCCCATGAGCGCTGCGTTTAGATGTTGATGACTACAAGGAAAGGCTTGTATGTGAAACCAGGAGGCGCCTCAGTGCGGCTCGCAGCCTTCGGCATCCATCCTCAGTCCCTCCTCTGTGTGGTTGCTGCCAGCCCTCCACCAAGCCTTCAACTGAAGGAGGGCCAGTTCTGCTGGCCCCGGGCAAAGTGGTTTCCCGACTTTTCTGACCATGGAGAGTAATAGTAAATGTATAACACGCTTGACTATGAATGTACTACATAGCAAATTTACAACAGGGCCCTGAACACACAGGTATGAGGCTGGAAAAGTCTCTCGAAGCCACACTCATTCCCCTTGTTGTCTGCAGTGCACCCTGACATTTTCCGCTACAGGCTGGTCTACTTCATTTTTTTTAATGTTTGGAGCGATCCACTAAATTGATTGTCACCCACTGCTGTTGCTTGGTTTGAAAACTCTTAGCATGCCCTGGGCAGGGAATGATGCCAACTGGTGGGGCCACACCTTAGAATACCCCTCCGTCCCCAGATTTAGATACCTGCCGGCAATTCTGCGACAGCACGAAAAGCCCCATTCAACTTTTGCTTATATTTTCCCATGGGATCGGAGGGGTACTGCCAAAGACCCAAGCTCAGTGGACATTACATGAGTCGTAAAAATGCCTAATGAAATGAATAATTGCTTAAACTCTAATTTTTAAAATCATTTATCCAATCTTGATAAACCCGTTCATTAGAAAATACTTGTCCTCCTATTCTTTTTCTACCAAGTAACAGTTTTTTGAAAACTATGATATTTAGGTATTATTTATAAACACCCAGAAAAATATGTGAACAACATTTCTTACCCAGCTTTTGCATAATATTAACTAAGTCCTAGTTAATGTAAAAAAAAATCAGATGGGGTTTGAAAATACGATATAAAAATAGCTTTTGTGTGCAAATTCGAGAGACATGCCCGCCCCCAGGTGTAAAGGTGGTCACTGGGCCTTACGCTCGGCGGGAGGCGGTGTCCGGTCTGGCAGAAGGGCCCCCTGGGAGGACGCCCTGAACAAGCGCGCCCGGGCGCTGCTTATCCTCCGCATCTTCACGGGGTCCACCGGGGGCTTCGGGAAGGAAAGGCCGGGGTCCCCTTCTGTGGTGGGAGACGCCGGAGCTTTCGGTTTCTGGAAAGAGAATGTTTAAATGACTGGTGTGAGTTTCTGTGTCTCATACCAGACTGGCACCTGGGGCTGGCCCTGCCCCTCCCGCTGAGCACAGACAGGGCTTTCTGCCTGGCTGGTCCCCGCCCCGGGCTCTGCGTCCCATGGGCCATCTTACTCAATATGTTATATAGATAACTCTTGTTCGTTGTCTTTGTCAAATACATTGTATTAATTACACTACCATCCTGCTTAGTGTTTTTAAAAAACAACAGTTTATCCATGCTAGCAAACAGCTATCTGCATGAGAGACTAAAACATTTGGGAGAGTATATTCAACATGCGTTGCAAATTTATGTGTTCAATTCAGTTCAGAAAACATGTATTGGGCACCTATATGTGTCAAAAACTATGTGGAATATAAATACGACCATTACACATTTTGGACTCCACAGAAGTACTCTTTAATGATATAAAAAAACATTTTTTAAATATATTTTTACTTATTTCAGAGAGAGGGAAGGAGAGGGAGATAGAGACTCATTGACTCCCTCCTGCCTCCTCCAGGTCCCCTACTGGGGATCGAATCCGCAACCCAGGCATGTGTCTGACTGGGTGTGTGAATTGAACCATGACCTCCTGGTTCACACGTCAATGCTCAACCACTGAGCAACACTGGCCAGGCAATGATATAAAATTTTAGAAACTAAAGTCACAAAACATAAGAGCAAGAAGTTGTCTTGGACTTATGACATAAACATGTCTTATTTTCCATATCACTAGAATTCTATGCTGATATCCTTAGAAAAGAAACATTACTGGCAAAATCCCAATTCCTTAAAGACTTTTAAAAATACCAGCACCAGGCACTGTGCTGCCCAGTGCATCCTCAGATCTAAGCTCCAGGTGGCAGTGGCCTCTGACCCAGGGCCAAAACCTCATGGAAGCCTAAACTCCCACTTTCAGTGTTGCTGGTGGTCAGTCCTTCCTCCCTCCAATGTTAGCAGAATTACCTGTCTCTGTTAGCAGAATTGCCAAAGAGCAATCTTATGGCAGTAGTGCTTTTGAGGTCTCTAACCAAAAATAATCAAGTTCAAGTTCCTCAAATCACTTACATAAATATGTGAAATGAGTGACTCTCAATCCCACAGGTTTGTCAATAAATATTTTAAAAATCCAGTGTGAACGTCAAGTCAGATAATTTGGAAAAATGGGTGAAGTCATCTATCATATATGACACATAATTTTAAACACGTTTTTCTTATATACATTAAGAGAACAAAGGCATCTATCCTAGAGTTCGCCCTCCAAGGAATTACTTATTTCAATAATGATGACATTTTTCAAAAAAATTTTTCTTTTCCAATTACAGTTGACATTCAATATTTTTTTCATTCAATATTATTTTATATTAGTGTCAGGTGTACTCAAAATATTTGTTCATTTGCACCTGAAATCAGTTCATGAACCACATAAAAAATTAGTTATGACTTTAGAGACACATTCTTCTAAACACAGCTAGAAAACTGGTAAATAAAATAATTAGCATAGTATAGAGGAAGAGTAAATGACTTTGGAATCAAACTGATCTGGAGTGGAATCCACTCCCGAGCTGTGTGAACTTGGGCTGGCCACTGACTTCTCTGAACTTGCCCAGCTATCAAATGGAGACAGAGTCCCCTTCTTGCAGGGACACTGACAGAGACAATTCCTGTGACGGAGGCTCCAGACATGCTAGCTCCCTTCCCTATGTGAGTGACTCACTCATTATTTACCGAATTTGGCTCCAAGTTACTTTTAAGTCACAAAGCCAAGGCTCTAGCCTCTGACACAACTTTGCTCGGAAGAAAAATCCTGAATTCAGAGGCATCTATTCTGAAGGAGACAACACTCATTTGCCTGTATAAATTCTGCTATATTTGTTTGTTAAATAGTCACTTTACTTTTTATTCTCCCTAATGTATTGCAAAATATTCATTAGAATGTGACTTAGGCCACGAAACTAAGAGTAACCAAAAAAGCTAAAAGCATATAAAACAGGAAAGTTAAGTGCTTTAGGTATTATTATGGAAGATAAGATACATTAGGACAATCTCAATATTGAATGCAGACACGAAGTTTTCTTATCTCAAAACATCTATACTCTGCAGGTACCTTGAATATAAAGCAAAGCCCAAGAAGTCTGCCAAATAATAATAATGCAGATAAATAAATGTTTGTTTCTGTTTTTTTACAAATGCCATAACTGTTCTAAAAATTTTGGACACTAAATAAAAGGTCTTATAAAGGGAAAAATGCTTTTGCAAAGCTAAGTTTTACCCAAAGGACAATAGCTGAATTACCTCTGATGGCAAGATAAAGCCCCTTCCCTGCTCCCTGATAGAAGGTGGGATTTTCCTAGCACAACGCGAGCCAGTGTTGGCATAATGACAAATTACTTCCAGTTTACTGTTGACCTTTACTAAATCATTTATCTCATTTAAACATACACCTCACTGGTCTACTTAAAATACAAACTGACACATGTAAAGCATTTTTTAATTCGTCAGGGAAAACGACTAAAGAAACCATCAATTCTATCATGTCAGGTTCTACAAAATGGTCTTCCATGTTGCAGAGCAAAATGGTGTTTATAGAGCTAAACAGTAAAAATGTTTTCATACACGATTCGTGGCATTTTAGAATTCAGAGAAGGTTTCAAGTAAGTTTCAGTCTTCACTGGAGAACCTTCCTCCCCCGTGTTGTGTGTCTTGACATGAACCAGGGACTTGAGTATAATCAGGGACACTGCAAAGTCAGAATTTAAGGTTTCTTCCGGTGGATAAAACTGCTCCAGTCCATTGAGGACTGAGAGACTACTTTCACAGAACCACCTAATGAAAGAAGGCAAAATTCCTAGAACATCTAAGGGATCTGGCTGGCTCGGCTCTCCTCCCAGCACTTGGTCCTTGACTGATTTCTGACCTGGATCCTTGGGATCACCAGTTGGGAACATGGGGTGTCCCCTGTTATACATGAAGGTTGGGAACGGGAGTCTATGACATCCCACCCCAGAAAGTTGCTATGATTTAATTTGTAAAACAGCAGTGCGCGCATGCGCGCGGGGACACACACACACACACACACACACACACACACACACACCTCTTGGAAGTTAGAAAGCAAATATTAAAAATTCCCCCAAGCCCATGACGTCTGCATGTGGCAATCAGACATGATTTCTATTACCATGATTTCCTCTCGCAGGTACCCTGGGCTCTTCTGTCTCTCCCAGCAGGTGACTCACGGAGGTAATGCTACCACTCCTTCCAGACACAGTGAAAGACATTGTTTTGTCTTAGTCTGCTTTTTCTCACCCTGAATCTCCTCTAACCTCAAAGTATGGGCTTCTTAGTCCCCATCTTTTAAAAATATATTACATTTTGTTTTACTCACCAAATACTTGGAGTTTGGTTCCTATCTATATATATAAAAGCCTAAGCGACCATTAAGATCGAACGACCGGAACAACTGGTTGACCAGTCGCTATGATGCACACTGATCACTGGGGGGCAGACACTCAACACAGAAGCTCCTCCCTGGTGGTCAGTGCACTCCCACAGCCAACCTCCCATGGCCCCTCCCTGCAGCTGGCCAACCTCCCATTCCCCCCCAACCCCCGGCCAGCCAGCCCCAATGGGCCCCCATCACTGGCCAGGCTGAAGGACCCCACCCATGCACGAATTTGTGCACTGGGCCTCCAGTAAAATATACAAATTATGGCTCGAACTAACATGTGCTGTGAGCAGTGAGGACAGCAGTGACCATGGGGAGGCGGTGTCTGAAAGGCTGGCAATGGTCTATTTTCTTTGAGTGCTGCTTACCGAGTGTGCTGAGCTAGTGTACATTTTTCAAGCTGCGCCCTTTGGATCTATGTCTTTTCTGTATGTCAATAAAAAGTTTAATAAAAATACCTGGAACTTAAATAACAAGGCTTTGTAAGGTTGGGAGACACCGGGAGAATTCTGTTTTGACAGTGATAGTGAAGAAAGACACAATTCCCTATTTGTTCACATGGTCCCATGCCTTTTCCTACTTTCTGCAATCAAAGCATGAGAGCAGCTGCCCCTGCGTCTATAAATCTGAATACCAGCTAACCAGAGCTGCAGAATGAAACCAGGAATAGCTGCCACCACACAACAGCCTGGTCTCAGAGCTGCTGGGAAAGGTGGAGGGCTGCTAAGAAGGGACAAAGGTGTGCCTAGGCATTCCTACAGCGCAGGTCGATGTAAATGTTAAGGGAAGACTACGTTGCAAGGCTTTCCCCTGTCTTAAAAGGTCACTCGTGCTAATGGGAACACTGGTGAGCCAGTCAGACCAGCCAGCCAAGGCCTCAGTGGCCAGGACCAGGGGCATTCGTTTTCCCATCACTCTCTGAAGCCCAGGTCATTTCTGAGTGCAGGCAGCCCACAGACAAACAGGGGGAGAAACAGAGAAGGAGGGTTTTCGTGCAAGCGCAGAGTTGAGCTGATGTGTTAAATGTAGGAGCTGGAAAGAGTTGCTCTCTGGATCCCTCTTTCCTGTCTGAGTGCTGGTTGAGAAATTATTAAACAAGCCTGAGAAAGTGTCCTAGATCCAAATAGTGTGAAATTCAATTGGTTAGGACTTTATAAATTCTTTGGGCAAGTTTATCCTCTATTAGATACCCTACCCGCACCTTCCTCCTTTATCCTGTCTTCTCTATCCCCCTCTCCATCCTCCCACTCTTATTTCCCCTTATTCCTCCCTTTGTCAAAGGGCAGGTAGTATGAGGCCCCACTTTCAGAGTTTCTCGACTGGGAGCTCCAAACTTTATTGTTTAAAATGAATTATACTTAAGACCCTTACGTACCGTATTTGCCGGCGTATAAGACGATTTTTTGGCCCTGAAAAATATGCCTCCAAGTGGGGGGTCGTCTTATGTGCCAGGTACACTTCAGATAGACTGCCCATAGTGCTTGCCCCGTGCCATAGTGGCCTCCCGATGTCCGCCCACTTCATTCCAC